TGAAAAAGTTCAACACCCCTTCACAATATAATAAATAATGAACAGAAGGAAACTATTTCAATCTGCATTAAACCATTAATGACAACCCCACAGTTAACATCATTCTTGATGGTGAGGTGGTGAAAACTGATGCTTTCTCAAACCTAAAAATAGATAGGACATGTTGTCTGATCATAGTTTTCTTTAATTCAAAGTGAAATATCCAAATAACAGCAAGAAACAATAACAGAGTAAAAGGCAAAAAAGAAAAATAACAATTAAAATGAGACTATACTCTCTGATAAACATGACAAACTTGCAAACTGATATCAACTATTTTTTAGCAAACAAAATAAATGCCACATAAGGTGAGAAAAACTCCAATAGTCAACAAAGACTGCGGGGGTCCAGCCCCACAAGGGTCGTGAGATTTCCTGAAGGAGAGATGGATAGGAAAAAGATGAAGATAATATACTCGGACACCTGCTTCCTAAACAGATGACAATTTAATGTTAGTTAACACAGAGCTTTTATACCATTTGTAAAGGGGCAAGATAAAGAAAATTCCTTCACGTACATATTCTCTACAAGTTACCACCATCTAGTGGTCTTAGCAACAAACAAGCCAAGAACCCTATAAACATTCAGACAATGAGTCTTATTCATAAGGCCAAAGATGATAGTTTTAGTCCAAAGTCCCAAATTACAGTCCTTGAACTGTCTCCAGAAAGTTTCCAAGTGTAAAGTTCTTCATGTAGCAGTAGTTTTTCTTCTGGGGCTTTATGACCTTCAGAACTTTTGTAATTGCCTTTCTTGTCCAGGTGTCTTCATTACTTTTCTCTTATCCTGTGGTATTTATTTCTAAAGAGAACTCAAAAGAAGCTTTTAGTAGTGTTTCCCAGGCCCCCAAGGTTGCTTTCTGTCTTTAGCTATTCTATCATAAAAGTGTCTGATTAGTATGAGTTCAGTGAAAACCCACTTTGTAAGTGTTAACTTAGAGTTTTAACTATTGAATTAAGTAAAAACCTTATAGATAATCTTTATCCTAAGTCAGTGAAAACAGTGTTATAAATCACCTACATAACTCCTATATAAGTGTTAGAACTTATAATGAATTCATAATGAACTTACTATAAACTTGTGCTTCTAAAAAACCTTATGTCTAAACACTAAACTACATAATTCTAAATCAAATAAGGCATGAATATACTTATATCATTTATTACTTAAGCAATATGTAGTAACTTATAACCAAGTGAAAGAAAGCATTCTTGATGTACTTCAGAGTTTAACCCTTGCATATGTTAGAAAAGGCCAAGCGGCACAGTGGGAAAATGGAAAAATGAACCATGACATTCTCAGGTTAGCTGTGAGTACTTCGCATAAACATGCCATTTTCTTCTTCCATGACAGCACATAATTCTTCGGCAGGACCAAACAGCAAAGACGGAAGACAGAAGGACCTCAGCTGCCCGGACTCACTTTGCGGCCGGGGGTCCTCAGCGCACCTGGACTTTGTCAATCAGGCGGGCCTCCAAGGCTGGCTCCCAACAAAAGACTCATTAATTAAAGGCCTATTAATCACAGTGCAATTAAACAACTATAAGAAAATTAAACCTACCCATACATTAGAATTATATTTCAATTTGCCCATTGATTCAACACACTTTAAAATGGATAGAAAAGGCCAGGCGCAGTGGCTCAGCCTGTAATTCCAGCACCTTGGGAGGCTGAGGTAAAAGGATTGCCTGAGCCTGGCGGTTCGAGACCAGCCTGTGCAACATGATTCATCTCGACAATAAATCACAAAAACTAGCCAGGTGTGGTGATATGCGTCTGTAGTTCCAGAAACTTGAAAGGCTGAGGCGGAAGGATTGCCTGAGACCAGCAAGTCAAGGATGTGGTCATGTGAGCATGCCACTGCACTCCAGCCTGAGTGACAGAGTGAGACGCTCAACTCAAAAAAAAAAAAAAAGATTAAAAACCCACTTAAAGAACATGATATATTCACCTTATGCCTTATTGCTTTAAAAGTACTATAGAGTTCTCACCTCAATATATTCTTGCAAATGCAGTGAGCATCCATAGTCCAGAGACACCCTTTAAGTATGAGTCACTGATAAACACAATATTATATAACTTGTATAATATCTCATTCGTATTGCAATTTTTTTCAAGCATTATACTATAATTATTTGTATCAGGTTTTTCACATGACCTATGTTTGTAGAAATGCATTTCATTAGGAGTTCTTACATGACTTTCAAAGTAATTGTTAAAATTGAGAGCTTAGCCAGGTGCAGTGGCTCACTCCTGTTATCTTGGCACTTTGGGGGGTAGAGGCGAATGGATTGCCTAAGACTACGGGTTTGAGATCAGCCTGGGCAACATGGTGAGACCTCCTCTCTACAATAAATAAAAAAGAAAAAAAAACCTTAGCTGTGCATAGTTGCACACATTTACAGTTCCAGCTACTTGAAGGTTGAAGGCTGAGGTGGCATGAGTGTGGGTGAGACTCCGACTCAAAAAAAAAAAAAAAAAAAGGGCCAGGCATAGTGGCTCACGTCTATAATCCCAGCACTTTGGGAGGCTGAGGTGAGGGGCTTGCCTGAGTCCATGGGTTTATGACCAGCCCGGGCAACTTAGTGAGACCTTGTCTCTACAATAAAAAAAAATTAGCTGAGTGTGGTAGTGCTCGCTTGTAGTTTCAGTTACTTGGAATGCTGAGATAGAAGGGTTGCCTGAGCCCAGCAGGTTGACACTGTGGTGGCCGTGAGTATGCCACTGCACTCCAGCCTGGGCAATGGAGTAAGACTCCAACTCAAAAAAATAAAATAAAATAAAATAAAATTGAGAGCTTTTCTGTATTTTTCTTGTGACAAGGAATTTAACCAGGTATGCATACCAACTTTTTTTGTTTGTTTGGTTTTTTTTTTTGAGTTGGAGTCTCACTGTCGCTCAGGCTGGAGTGCAGTGGCCGCTCCCGGCCACCGCAGCCTCGACCTGCTGGGCTCTGGCAATCCTTCTG